TCTTTAGGTTAACGACCCCTACCCTGGGGGGGGGGGGTATTGGCTGAGAATTAGAATAATAGCTTATACCAGGGGCGGCACTTTTGAGACGGAAGAGCCAAAAGTTAAAATTTACAAAATTTCCCAGTTTTTAAAGAGCCACATTTTTGTTTCAATATTTGGTATTTAATTAGGATTAGATAAATAAATAAGATTTGTTATTTTAAATAGTTAGCTTTAACTGTGAGATACTATTTATTCATACAAAAACATACACATGTTTTGCCAGCGTAATAAAATTAGAAATCAAATAATATAACTACAGGACTCTCCCAATCCACTTTAGAAGCTGTTAACTTTTTTTTTTCTTTACGGATATCACCGTCTCTGGATGTGTCTCCCATTAGCCAGGCATCCATCGACACGACAAACTCAGACTAACTGGCTTGGGTATCGGTTTGATTACCGTGTATCGGTCACTTATGTACTTTGGTTCTCACCAGGCTTATCTTCCATCCCACGGAGCCCAGGGTAAGCTAGTACCCTACCGTCCAGTACCCAGCTCGACCGTAGGAAGCTAATAACTAAACAAATTAAAGTGAATTGATATAACTATTAGTATTTGTGAAAGCAGCTGGAGAGCACATTTTGACATCAAAAGAGCCTCATGCGGCTCGCGAGACGCAGGTTGCCGACCCCTGGCTTATATTACTAATATGAATTTATTATTGCTAAAATAATTATTTCCGGATAGAAAGGTGTTGGTTGTGTATTGATTCAACTGAATAAATTGCGTCTCTTAGAAAAATGTATGCATTAAAGTCACTGTTTACAACTTTTATAGCATAAAGAATTTTTAAAGCATATTAGCATGACTACTAATTTGTTTTATATTTTCTAAAACTTTCAAAGAACTTTGTCAGATAAATTATACTGTGACCGTTTTTTTTTTAAAAATACATCTTTCTAAAATTTACAAAAACCGACCGGCTAGTAATTTGCTTTGCGTTGTCTCCCTTCTAATTGTTTATATATAAAAAACTAGGCATGCTGCCCAGCTTTGCTTAGGCTTTCGAAAACATTGAGAATTTGAATGCTTAATTAATTCGCCCGAGGGTCGGTCTACGACCTCAGGAGTTATGAAGAGGTTCCTCCGTGGACATTTTTTTTCGATTTATAGCTCATATGAGGCGCCGGTCAGTCGAGGTCAGTTTTGACCCCATCATCGTAGACTTTTCGGCCAACCGGCCCCCGTGTTCTGTCGCCCCAAGGCAAGATCCTGCCAAATTTGAAGCGCCTACGGCGCCGGGAAGTGCCCTGTCGGGCACCCGACAACTTTGCTTTATATATTATAGAGATTAGCAAATTGCATAGATAAACAAAGATTTCAATAAAGTAATTAAGGCCTGAAATACTTTACTATAGAAATGTATTATTTGAATAGATGAATCTAGAATATCTAGATCTAGAATCCAAATAAATAAAATAAATTTTATCAGTTTAGGCCGGAAAAATTGTATTGTATACATTTCATAGTGTACGTAGATCTAAATCAAATTTGAATGAAATTGTTCATTTCTTTTTATTCGAAACACGGCAGATGACGTCATTAGTTAATGTATAAGCAATAGTGACGTCACAGTTTTATGCGTTCTTTTTCACATCTATTAATACTTTTTCCGGTTGCATAAATAATACTGTTTCTCTACATTCGAATACGCCTTTAATTTTTATTTTTCTTCTTTAAATAAAATTGTGGTTATACATTTAAAACGTCTAACATATTATTTTCAACAAAAGTCCGTATAAAGTTCTCCATTTATCGCTGCCGTTTCTGACGTGAAAATATTTTGCTGACAGACAGAGAGAGAGAGAGAGAGAGAGAGAGAGAGAAGTGCGCACATTGGGAATTATATATTAGGATGTATTTAAATTTAAAAAAAAAACATACATTTTGATCCAGACATTATCTTTACTGATTTAGAACTCTAACCAATACTGTATGAACTATTAATCGTAATGGTATAATTGTAAAATATGTGTAGGCCTATAACGTTTAAATTGCGTTATTAATTATTTATTTTTTTTAAACTGTGAAACACCACAACGCTTAAAAAGGAGTTTGTCGCAAATACGTTTTAGTAAAACGGCCTTCCAGCAAACGGCGTTCGGGCAATCGAAATTCGTTAATGTTTTGGTTTTTTTTCTGAATTTGTCATAAGCCGATTGAGAAGAAAATTATCTCGGGTTAGGGGTGTCCATAAATGACGTCACATTGTTAGGAGGAAAAGTGGGGCGGGTCCGTAATTTTGCGACGGTGTGTGATGAGGGGGAGGGGGTTGTTTTTTCATTGTAAAAAGCAATGCTAGAAAACGAATTTTAGCTGTTATTTCTCGTCAAAAAATGTTTTAATAAATTGAAATAAAATTAACCAAACCACTTTATGTTGGCAGAGTTCAGACAAGAAATGGGAAAATATAACTGTTTTAAGGAACATACAACGGAAGTTTTGAGGGGGGGGTGACGTCATTTTAGGGGGTCTGGCTTTTTGTGACTCTTTGTGACTAAGGGGAGTGGCAGGGGGGGGAGGTAAAAATTCTTTTTAAAAAAGCGTTAGGTTATGTACGGATGACCCCTAAAGAAGCAATTTTTTTTTTTTTTTTGCCTTGTAAAAAATGAAAAAAAAAATAATTACAAAAAGTGATTGAGAGAAAATTTAAACCGGACAATTATATGAACAATGATATGATTCAAAAATGTAGTGGTAAAATCTATAGTTATTCCTCAAACGTTAGAGATTTACAGTATCAATGAAAGGTAAATACACCATAGATATATGTATGCATACTCGTAATGTCTAGACCTCGTACAAATTATAAGTAACCATAACATAATTGTTTTGCTAACTCTATCATATATTTATTTGTAAAAAAGAGACATTTAAAAACTAAAACTGTTGTGTCAAAAAATTATATAGTGTATTCTATCATATCTCTAAATATCATCCTAACAATAATAAAACGCATTACATAGAAACATAGCAAACAATAGAATCATTTTTTTTTTCAATTCAAGTGCTGCAACATTCTATACACAGTTAAAATGAAATCTTGTTAATTTATTTTTAATGATAATATTCAAAATCAAATTCAAACTCAGTACAAAATATAACATATTACAAAATACATACATTTTTGTAACTTATTTGGGTCGGCCTTGAAACACATTGCGTGACTGTAGACTCCTGTATGTATATTATTTAAATACATTATACAAGAATGACTTCATGAATGCTAATTGATTTTGCAAATATGTTTTTATCTGTGGGGATAAGTTCTCACTGTTTATACAATCATATTTCTTTGTGTTTATAAGCTTTATATTATTGCAAAAATCTGTGATTTTATTTAAAGCCCATTTTTTTCTGTTTTACTGATTGGTCATAGTGAAGTCATTTTAATTACTGAATGGTTAATTAATATAGAGCTTTATAATTATCAATACCACAAATAGTTTACATAATATATAATAACATTTCACTTTTCAAATGAATGTTTCTCTAAAAATTGTTTGAGGATAATTTAACCTGGCGTATGTCATGAGATTTAATAATGTGTTCTTTCAAAACACTATTGTTATAACATCATATTATGCAAACTCTGTTTTTCAATATTTAATGGGGTAAGCTACATCCAGAACCGGATTATCGTGGTGTGTTGTACGGCTATCACGAAAGTCTCGAGTTGGGATCACGGTACAGATTCCACGAACAGCTGAACTCCACTTCACCTTCCTCAGCACAAGCAGGCTTGTTACTTCGAATTGAATAATTAGCCACATGTTAATTTATAAAAAATACTACTTTCTCCTCATTGAGTTGAGCCTTGCACCGTGGCTTGAAAAGAAGATTTCTCATAATTACAAATTTACTATAAAATATTATCACGGTTATACATTTTAACATACGGAAAAAAACTTCGTATTTTGTTTGAAAGTACACAAAAACATATACACTTTTCTGTGTTAGAAATAATTATTTCAATCACAACCTATTTAGAAACAGTAGTGAATGTAGTTATATTTGCCTCTCTATATTGTAAATTATTTTTGTTTTATTAAAAATATATTATATCAGAAGCTATTTCCCTTAAACCTGCAGTAAAAGCAATGGGAAGTGATGAAAAGCACTCGTTTTTATTTTCTCTTATGCAGGAAGTATAGAGAAAGTCTTGTAATCGTGCTAAGAAAATCGAGATTTTTTACAAATCTCGACTTTTTACACCTCACTGATATACGAATATTCGAGAAAGTTTAGGGGAGATCACTCTAGGTTTATTTTTTTTTGTTTAATAAATGTGCATTTATTTAAATAGCTGTCTATGAGTAGAAAAGTTTAGTTGTTTCTTTTCTACTAAATCAAACACACCAAATCTTGGTCTGCTGACCATCCCACGTGACTGGTCAGTTCGTTGTACTGTTATTATATTCTCTCTGTCTAATCTATTATCTATAACAGATTGCTAACTTTCTATATATTAACGTTTTTTTTTTTTTGGTGCTATAAAATGTTTTATTAATTTCACATTCGTTAACATTAAAATACAACACTACATCTTCTTGAACAGATTTTCAACATACACCAGCCTCACCACTATTATACCAGTATTCATGTTTCTATCACACAATGCTGTGTGTAAAAGGAACTCACTAAAAAAGATAAAAGTGCATTCTGCGTTTCTTACAACTAAAACTATATAACGAACTTAATAAAATTATCAATGCTCTTAGTCCTATTTAGAATTAGTTCTAAATAAAATTTATAAATATAGCAGCCAGGACAACTGAGCATTGGTTGTTAAATTTAGAACTATTGAATAAAAAAAAGTATGCTATTTTAAAATCAGAAAAACAAATTATTTTAAATTTAAATAAATCATTTTAGACTGGGATTTTACACTTTTGGGAAAATGAAATATTTTGTATCCTTTTAACTTGTGAAACATCATTTGCAAAGATTACATTCACGCTTTCTTAGAGATTTTTCCTAATTTCTGCTTCAATTTCTTTAAATCAACCTTGGAATCAGTCTCCACCTTGGCCTTTTTCTTTGCTGGGTCAGTGGATTCTTCTGGTGCAATAAAAGATTTATCTCGCTTCTGTTGCCTGTCTTGCTTTGATTGTTTCTGTTTCTGATGGTGACGATGTAACTACTGTGATGATTGATAAAAGTGTTTTAATATTTAAACTTGTATTTATAAACGTATATGTTAAAGTTAACAATACGTTTATGGTATGGTCATTTATAGTTTGAACGAGGTCTAGCCAATACGGCTATGTATAAATATATCACTGGCATAATAACAATCACAGATACTGTAAATATGTGACGTTTGATGTATAACTATAGACTTTACTACATCAACTTTGGTTTAATTGACTCTTAATTTACTTCTGTCACGATCGTTGTTCCCTTTTTGAGTTCAGCAAAAAAAAAAAGGTTGCAGCTTAACCTGAGCTAATTCTCTTCTCAATGGACTTGATCGAACCCCGTTTTCGTAAGACGTGCCCGAATAAGACAAACTCCTTCTTCAGCATTGTTATATATTTCACAGTAAAACAAAAACAAACAAACATTTAACACTTTTAACATTATACATATCACATACTGTTTTATCTGGAAATTACAAGTTTTATTCTGTATTGGTGAGAGTTCTCAGACAGTTTAGATAATGTCTAGTCTAAAACTAAATGCCTTTTCTTAAAACTTAAAATACATATTACGATAGCCATTTCTTATTACATAGGAAAGGTAAAGGGAGACCAATCAAGCAAACTAATAGAGCTATCTATTATAAAAAACTTTAATAACATATTCCTTAGAAATAGGCATATTACTAATAAAAAATATGTAAAATTAACATGTTTTAGAAAATATTAAACAATTAAGCAAAAAAGCTAAATTTTTATATAAAAAAGTATTAGGTTATATAATAAAAAAAACTGTGACTTAAATGCATATCGTCTTTTTTAAAATAAGGATCCAACCCATTCAACCAATGCCTTGATTCCATTTCGTACTCGTTTATGAATAATTTAGTAAAATCTTATTGATCAAGCAGAAACAATATAATAACAGTACAACGAACTGACCTGTCACGTGGGACGGTCAGCTGACCAAGAGTTGGTCAGTCTGATCTGAAAGGTAAATGATGCTTTTAATTGTAAAATAAAACAGTGAAATATGAAATATGTTAATGTCCATATAATAAAATGTAACTATATTTGATACATTTAAATGTCATATAATAAGATGTAACCATATTTGAAATATAGAAAAAGGATACGTAATAAAATATAGCACTAGCTATGATATGTTATACGGCATTTATACAGTAAAACCATACCTAATTGCGCCGGGACTTTAAAATATACACTGGAGTGTTACGAAATATTGCAAAATGTGTCGAGTAGGTATGTTCCACATAACTTGCCCAGCATATGTCTGGCAAGGGTCTCACATAGACGTTGTCAGGATCGTGTGATATACTGGAAGGTAAACCCTCTAGTAGAGGTTCATTTAGTAAATGTTGATGTTACATCTGTTACATCGTCACCATCAGGTCGGTCAACTTGCTGATTGTTTTTTTTTTAATTAGGTAAGCATTGAAATAATATGACAAATACTAATTTACATAACCGTTACAGTTGCTGATAAAATCTTTAAAAAATCCAATCTACTTCTAGCCCATTACTACTATCAGTCAATCAGAAATGTCGTTAAAAAACGCTAAATTCTGACAGACTAAAATGATATATGCACATAACGTGTCGTCTGAGTTATAGAAATCTGAAAGAAGATTTTATAATGTTGTAGTTGATGATAAGATAGTTGTATGTAACACGAACAAGTCTTGTAATAACAGCATGTGTACGTATATACAATATGTTGTAATATAAGCTGTTGAAATATATTGTATCAGTCACTCACATTTTGTATTTTTCCAATGAAAAATACATTATAAAGGAACAAACACATTTTATGTTGTTATAACAAGTAGCTTGGAAATCGTGAGCTACCTATATGTTTAATGTTGATATAAACAATAAAAACAGTGACTTTATAATAATCATGTTTTAAACACAAATGAACATTTCGGTTTAATTAATTCATATTATTTAGTTTTGAAGTTTTATTTGAATGCATTCAAAGTTGCCATGTAAAAGAACTATTTCTTTTTTATGAGAAGATATTTAATGGATGAAATTGATAGCTCTATTTAGCGAATGCGTGTTCTACACAATTAGTAACGCGTATATTTAAAACAGTTTTGTGTTTTTAGAGTTGCGTCCCTTTTAGAGGTCACAGAAACAAGTGAACCCTACTTCACTTGCCCCATCGACCGTCAGGTTTGAAAGGAAACTCTACTTCCCCTTTAAGTCAAACTTCCATTGTCAAACATGCACATTCCACAGAGTTAGGATAGACTATGTTCTCTAACTAGATGATGTATCATACAAAAATATACAAACGACAAACTTGAATACATTCAACATACATTTTCAAATCTGAGTAGAGAGATAAGTACACACCCGTATATTTTACTGTTTAAACTTTAATAATGTACCCCATGTTACGCTAAAGTGTATATTTTATTCTGTCAGAGAAAAGTACATAAAAACCTCTCCTACATAAACTCATCTCCTATATAAACCATCTCCTATAATAACTCATCTCGTACATAATCTCATCTCCTACATAAACTCCTCTCATAAATAAACTCCCTCCTACATAAACTCCCTCCTACATAAACGCCTCTCCTATATAAACCATCTCTTATGTTAACCTTCTCATACATAAACTCATCTCCTACATAATCATTTCTTCTACATACACCCCTCTCCATCATCAACCATTCCCTACATAAAGTTCTCAACTACATAACCCCTCTCCTACATTAAACCTCTCCTACATAAGCCAGTCTCCTACATTAAACCTCTTCTACATAAGCCTACCTACTACATTAAACCTCTCCTACATAAGCCCATCTCCTACATTAAACCTCTTCTACATAAGCCAATCCCCTACATTAAACATCTCCTACATAAACCCTCTCCTACATTAAACATCTCCTACATACACCATCTCTTACATACATCTATTGGTCTTCGTGTAAGGTTCTGAGTTATATATGTCTAAACGATTGTTGATTAAATACTTTCTTATAGTATTACTTAAGCTATCGATTTATTATTATTCAGCATCCAATGTTACAATTTGTGCCTAAGACACATGTAATAGATGCAGTAGCGTCCCTCTGTTTTTATAACTTCGGCCAACAAGGGGATAATGTGATCAACATTATGCTCAGCCACCTTTGTTTCTCTAACTTAAGTCAGGTACCCATTATATACGGGTGGACTCAAGAACATCATAAGCCACAATACCTAACCTAATATAAACAGACAGGGATATTTCAACGCCAAGGGTAGACAACGGTACAGCCCTTTAGTTTATGAAAGTTGCTCGTTAGTTAATAGAAGCTTCAATGTACTGTGGTCACTCCATCTATTTCATTTAAAATCTTCTCTCACTCTTCCATTAGGGTCTTCACTGGAGGGAATTCTTTATTCCGGAGATACATTTTACCCATTGTAGTCATACACAAAACATTTGACTTCTTCACTGGTTTTAACTTTCTCTTTCATTTTCTCAAGAAATTATATGGCTTGTTTCGGATCTGGGTATTGCTGGACAACATAAACACCAAGCTCAGCCAGAGAGGGGAGGGGGGGGGGGTGATTTTATGCTCAAAGTCGGACAGGGAATTTTCATACAACCGTAGTTTCTCATCTCCTTTTCAAAAGATATGGTGTCTTACAAACTCCAGAATCCTTAGACCTGATGCCATATTTTTTGTTGTATAACTCTTGAGTCCCCATTCAGTGGAAACATCACCCGTACTTTTCTTTGTTGTTCTGCTAGATAACCAGCTACGTTAGGTATGATTGATATGTTTTTAAAATCCATTATTTCTATCGTCCACATATATTTCTTTCTTTCTGTGACAAAATTTGACGTTAACATACTAGGACGCAAGTCTCATCGTCAATTGAACAGACCTAATCTGTTGTCTTTGATAAATGTATAATTCTTGGCCACTGTTTTTACGATTAATTTAGTCACCACTTATTTTAAGACACATATATGAACAAAATTAAATCTGTTTCCGTGTATCAATATATTTTCTTGATAATTTAATAGTTTGCAAATATCGGCCTTTTGCAGTATATAAAAATAAAATTCAATGGCATCAAGTGCAGTTGAAATAACTTTTAAGTATCGCCTTTGAAATGTTATGAAATAAGACGGTAGTATATTAGAATCATTCATTTTTATTAGGTTAGGTTAGGTTTTCCTGTCGCCCCTCCTTGCAAGAGATTTCCTCTGTCCTGGGCTCGGCTCTCCACATATATAAAACCGAGTTGGCATAAAATAAACTTATAGTAATGTTCCATGTCAACTGCTTAAAATAACACTTTATTTGGTGACCTGACAAATGCCATATTATGTCATCAAGCCATCCTTAAACAAAAACAAGTCATATGAAACGTGAAATTGAATTATATATGTAAACCATATGTTTTATTTATAATTATAGAGTTCAATATTAATTAACCAATCAGTAATTAAAATTGTTTTAATTAGACCAGTAAAACAGGAATATTGTCTCTAAATAAAATCACTGTTTCTTGCAGTAATATAAAGCTTATAACAAGAAAAAAATATGATTGCATAGACAGTGGGAGCTTATTCCCACTGACACCCCTGTCCATAACAAAATATTTACAAACTCAATAACATTATGGAAGTCCTTTTTGTATGATGTATTTAATTAAAGGACATACACTTGTTTCCAGTCACGTAATGTATCTATACGCCGACCCACATAATTTGTTACGAAAATGTATGTAGTAGTGGTCCAATGTTATATTTTATACTGAGTTTGAATTTGATTTGAAATATGTTCATTAGAAAAAGTGCTTCTTCCAGACTTTTTTCTCCGGGGGGGGGGGGGGGGGGGGCACTTGAAATTTTCGGGGGGGGGGGGGGGGGCGGTAAACTTTCTTCGGGGGGGGGGGGGCGAACACTGTTAAAAGTATATATTTTCTATATAAATTATATAAATTT